ACCGTTTTTACCGCGGATATGGTAGAGAAAAAAGGGGCGCCCCCCCGGTAACAACGGTAAAAAAGAAAAATTTCGATTTTTACCGTTTTTACCGCGGATATGGTAGAGAAAAAGGGGCGCCCCCCCGGTAAAAAGGGAGAAAAAAATCAATGTTTACCGTTTTTACCGCGGATATGGTAGAGAAAAAAGGGGTGCCCCCCCGGTAAAAACGGTAAAAAAAAACAATTCGATTTTTACCGTTTTTACCGCGGATATGGTAGAGAAAAAGGGGCGCCCCCCCGGTAAAAAGGGAAAAAACATTGGATTTTTACCGTTTTTACCGCGGATATGGTGGACAAAAACCGGGTGCCCCTGCCCCCGGGGAAAACGGTAAAGAAACATATTTTTCGATTTTTACCGTTTTTACCGCGCGGATGCCTCGGATTAACCCCGTAACCCGGGCAACTACGCTAAACCAGCACAGGGATAACCTTCCTTTCACATCACAAAAAAGAAACCCTCCGAAAAGAAAAGGACACACATTTTTACATCACGTGGAAGTCGAGTTCACCACCTGTTTGGTATTCCGGACAACCGGTATTCATCCAAGGCCCATGTTCCCACCCTTTGTGAGTCCGAGACCCCACCCTTTGTTGCACCTTGCTGGTCTGGTTTCGATTGGACCATCATGCACCTCCATCCATCCACAAAGCTGCAGGTTTCGAAGTCCTCACTTCGCGAACTCCATATCCAAAGGGTATCGTCCAGTCGTGGATCGTCCAGTGCTGCTTTTTCCCTTTTTCAAAGCTTCAGCTGCGCTCCTGGTTCCTTAAAGTGAACTTTTGATCCCCTGTTTTGAGGTCGCTTAGCTTCAAAACGATCATATTGAAGAAGCTGGTACTTCGTTTTAAATCACATACTGTGGGCACACTCACACTGTGCGAAGGACCCTTGATGGATTTGTGAGCCAGCAAACCTACCTTCAGCATTAGCCCCACTGAGATTACTCCGACGGGGACCTCAATCTCCTGCTGCCCCACCTCCAGTGTGGCCTGCGCTGGCTGTGCGGCCTTCTCTGGCCCCTCAGTCATGGATTCCATGAATGGCTGGTCTGGTTCGATGGAATGTGGGTCTTGAGTTTCTTTTTCTCAGTGATGAGTGTGATGAGTGACGATCTTGAGAGGGACATGTTCCAAACCGCTCGATGCCACAGGCGTAAGACCCGCCTTTTGCGGGTCTTCCCATGGGGCCTTTCGGGGATCCAGTGCAATGCTGAGACCAAAGCCTTTTGACTCTCCAAAACCGGGCATGCCGAAACGCATGGTCGCTGTGTAGGGAAGAAAAAGGACCAAACACCAACAAGCTCCTGAGACGTTCTCGGGTTTAAATCGCTACTGCAAAGGGGCCCTGCCAATGCGCCTTTGAACAAATCTGCGGCCATGCACCCCACCCACAGAATCCACTTGCCGCTCCTGCAAAGGTGGCCACTGCCAGAAGTGCGAGGGTGGCTTCGTTTGGCGCCAGAGCGTCTGTGGCTTCGGCACGCAGTTGTTTTGTTTGCGATGGGATGATGTCCTCCAAACGTGTGGTTTGATTCCGTACCGGATCCTACGGGTGTGTAAGGGAGACCTCCCAGTTTGACCCCCCAGGAAGAAGGGACATAGACCTGGGTCTCCCCAGCCCCATCCCCGCGGTGCAACGACACCTTCGACACCTTCGACGCCGAGACGGTGGGTCGGTCACCGTGTCGCTGGTGGGCAGGTGTCGCCTGTTCCAGTGCGAGCGAGTGGGCCAGTGAGTCGGGCAAGGCATGCTCACAGCTCTCAGCCAACGAGTGTGCCTCGGACTGAGCAATGTAAGAAT